ACACTCCATTCCAAATACACAGATCTGAGGTTATTTCTCCATCTTCAGACACTCAGACCTGTTTTCTTGCATTTATTGCCAAACTGTCTTTCCGACATTTAGCTTTTTTTTGCATCAGAGGCAGTTGTTATTGCTGCACATCAGAACAGCAGTCAATCCTGACGGAAGCTGTATGTAAACCCGTAATATTATTTATGGCTCAAATCCTCCTTGGATGCTCCATATTAAAACATGATTCTGTTGTCTAAAGGAGCCACAGAAGTTGTGTTCACTTGACTTATATAATGTTGATGTTAATATGTTAATAAAAAATCCACTGTAATGTATACTGTTAAAGTACTGGTATGAGTGGGATTTAACCTTATTGTGCATTGCTATCATTATGCTTTTGTGTGTTTGGCTTTAACAGCAGGATTCTGCCTTTGTATTTCAGACTTAAACCCCATGTTTCTTTGAATCAGTGTAGCCACAGTAGGAGAGAGGTGTGTGTTTTGTGGAAGCTGTGAAATGCTGTTGTTTGTGCAGCTGTTTGTCATTTTCATCAGAGAGCAGGATGCTAAACACTCAGGACAGAAGAGAGTGACATGAAGCCTGGGGCACTGCCTGCTGAGACTCAAGCAGACGATACGTCAGTGTGACCAGCAGACATCTATCTCCAATGCTCTGTGTGGGGCTTATAAACCTTTTGCTCACCTCTGACCCCTGGTGTGCACCCACCTGTGAACCCCCTTGTTTTTAAAACATGTTTCCTGTGCACTGGGTGCCCCCTCACCCTGAGGTGTTCACTTAACATGAAGGACTTCTGCCATTGCTCAGGCCATTGTTAAATCATCCTCTTATAGATAGACCATGTTTTATTTTTTACTTCCTCTTTGTTCTTTGTAGTCTGTTAGTGCCCACAGTGTGCATCAACAAGTGTGTAGACTTTTTGTGAAGGGCAGTGGTTGTTTGGTGGTTAAGGAAGCAGTCTTTGGTCTGGAAGGTTTCAGGTTGGGCACTGAGCATGGCACTGTCCCCACACACTGCTCCCTGCCCTCTGCCCCCTGCTCAGTTCACTTTTTTGTCCCTGCAGCTCATCAAGCTGGTATAGCGAGTCTGTCACCGAAATATAAGGTTCTGTCTGTAATAAATTAAAGTTTAGGTCAGCAGTCACAGCTTTTTTTGCATTAATCAGTTTGACTGTACTCTGTTTCCATTTACTGATAGGCGCAGTGCTTAGCAACCGAGTGTGACACTAATGGTGCAGCTTTATCTCAAGAGACAGCGAGCAACTATATATCTACAGGCAAGATGGGAACAAACTGGCTTCGCAAAAGGGTATGAAGGTGACAGCTTAAAACATGGGCTACAGTAAATGTTTCAATCTTTGCATTTAAAAAAAATCTCTAATGAGGAATTATGCACACGTGTCATATTAAAAGCATTTTTATAACTGGCATTTCGGTAACTATCAATATAGTATTAAATCTGTGAGAAATCGATCTACATTGAGAAAAGTTTTAATGCCACTTCTGCATTCATATTAAAAGGATTTTTATAACTGGCATTTCGGTAACTAGTGCTGATCCGGACGTAACTGCTCCAGAATAGAGGCAAAATGAAGAAAGGCGAGGCCAAAGTGTAACCAATGTCTGGACATTTTGAAAGCTGTTAAAAGCCAGCGGAGAATCTTTGCTAGTGTTTTTTTTGTTAGGTTGACTTGAAAAGCTTCTTTAGGGAGAGAGAGAAGAGGAGAAACAGGCTGCATGTTTTTCTGCCTTTTTTTCTGTTGTGTTCTTAAGAATTTAGAGTTGGTTTTCATCAAGCAGTTGAATGTGTTGAATCAGTTACTCTATCTAAATACGCCTCTATTTTTAGTTTTCTCTTCAGTTCGACTCTTTGTCTTCACTTCCACGTATTTAGGCACATGAGTTGTTGTTTCACTATTATAGAGTGACGTGTTTTCTTTCAAAACACTATTCACCTTCTGAGCCACTCTTCTGGGTAAAAAACACAAAGTGCTTTGTCTGTTTTTGATGAGGGTTGTACTATTTTTATGTTGCAGCAGTGCAATTACCATCGTTGGCCAAAGCCATCATAACTATCATAATGATACACAAGGCATAGCTTCACCAATGGAGCAACATAATTTGCTCAACCATAATGAGATAGCATACTCAGGCATGTTTGGCAGAAACAGCACAATACTGTAGTATCTCTGTAGTTGTTTGCTACAAGATTGAAAAACCAACATCATAAGTTCAGGATTTTGTAACTTGTTTTGATCATTGAATGTAGAGCACTAAATCCACTCACTGCACTGGCTTTAGTCTGGATCAACATGTCCACCTGTTGAAAGCTGTTTTTAGTGGTAAATTAACAGCATGAGAAACAGGAGGCAGACAGAGATGTGATGAGACAAACCATAGTAGCCATAGTATGCCATTCATTGTTGATGAAGAATGGTCACCAAAGACGCTATCAGCGTGTATTCATTGGGTGTGCTAGCCCCCGCAGAAGCTATTAAAGTGCTGCCAGACCCTGGGGCAGATTTATACCGACGATCACTTGTTGATTTATAAACCTGGTAGTTGGTGAAATCAGTCAAATAGTTGTTGCAATAGTGCATTTTAGTCTCTGTGGTTGAGGGAAACACATTTGAAAATTTGTGCGGTTTTGAAAATGCTGGATTTTAAATATATTTCACCATTTTTTTTAATTTCCCTTCTCTAAATGCAGTGGGAGGGCTGGGGGAAGAGGGAGGAGGGATGCAAGAATGTTTGAGTCATGCAGAAAAGAGGGATGATATGTGGGGGTTTGACAGGGGAGGAGGGATAGAGGGAGGGACACCAGTGGGAGGTACCCTGAGGAATGCCTGGAAGGTGTCAGTGAGGTTTGGAAGGATTTGGCCTGATAATCCTCCACAGCACATTATCATACGCTTGCCCACCATTCTGAATTCACTCTTGCTGTTTTTCAGCCTCATGTTTTCAAATTTGACTCCACTTGCCCACCTGACTGTGGGATTATAGTTTTACTGAGCAACAGGAATTCCTTCATTGTTCCATATTTTGCCGTCTAAAAAAGGAAAAAAAAAAATCTAATATTTGCTAAAGGAAAGGGGTCAACAGGGTGTGAGAGTGGTTAGTGCTGTTTCCTTACACGGAGACCCTGGCATGATCCCATGATCCCATGGCATGAGTTGAATTTGCATGTTCTTTCTGTGTTTGCGTAGGTTTTTTCACTGGATATTACCGCAGAGCAAACACCCTAAAATTGAGGATTACCATTATATGAATATAAGTAAAGGTTTGTCTGTGTATCTGGCAGTGCAAACAGTCTTAGGTCTGCCCTGGATGACTACTAGGTTTGACTTCCCAAACGACCCTGAAAATAATTAGGAACTGAAGAATGGATGTTCTATAAGTATGGATGGAAAAGAAGGGCACAGGCGTTGAACCTCAGGAAACTTTTGTGTCATCTTTTTCTTGCGTGTCATTTAGTGATTCATCAGACAACACAGCTCTTAAATGTGGCAAAAGCTTTCTTTCACAGGCAGATCAATAAAGCAGTTCACATTGATGTAAACGACCCTCTGTGGGTTTCTATGACTCTGCCGACTAAAAGCTATTGCATTTTTCCCTCACTGTAGGGATTTGTTAAGGTGATTTAATTCATCAAATGAAAACCATTAGTCCAGCGCATCTGTTTTCAAAGATTTCCTTTATGTGGCCTAATTACTGTTTAAAGGACAATTACCATTGATGCTCTCATCAGTCGACAAAGTAAATTATCGTTTCAGCAAAAGGCGAAGCAAACACTTGGACCAAATGAATATTACTGATGGTTTGCTGATGAGTCACATTTGACATTTTGACATTTTTGTTCAGATGGCATTTGAGTTTGTTTAATCTGTATGAATAAACACAGTAGAGTATCTATTCATCTTATCCTTTTCAGTCACATTAGCCAATCCCAGCACTCATAGGGTCAGGGCGTGACAGTTTACGTAAGTTCATCACAGGCCAACATATAAATACCAATCTTTTACATTCACATTTGTAGCTTGTAGTAAACAAAACCCACACTGTCACCAGGCGAATGTGTAAACTTACACTTACACAACCAGAAAACACCTACAACCAGTAATCTTCTCACTGCAAGGCAAGGTCACTCACCACTTTCCCACCAAATACTTATCATGTTTTAAAAGCTGTAAAAGTAAGATTGTAGCTTTTCAATAAGAGCTAAAACTGTGAAGGTCATTCAGTTGTGCAATAGGAAGATGTCCTTGTCAAAACCTTTTTTTAGTGTAATAAGTAATAATAAGTAATATCTAGCTCTCTGGTTCTACCTTCTCATTTGCTGCTGCCTTCATATTCCATCTGTTTCATGTTACAGACTTATGTTTTCTATACATAAGTCCTGTCCTTATTACCTGTTTAGTTATTGTCTTAACCGGTTAAATATGTATCCACACCATAAATACAGAATACCACACTCTTATTCCCAATTAGCATATCAGCGTGTACTTTTATTTTAACTGATATTTCGAATTTCCCTTTTCCTTTGAGTATTCATTCGTAAGTCATAGCAGGTAGTGAGATCCGGACACACAAACAAGGCTGTCATTGCACCTGGTCTGTTGGACTATGACCTCATTCCAGGAAAAAGGAAAGAGAGAATCACCTGATGGGCTCATTTGTGTAATCAGCTGTTCATGTGACTGGAAGCCAGAGGGAGGATGACTTCTGCCTCAGGTTAAACATTGTACAAACAGAACAGTCATCTGCAAATAAATATGTACGCAAAGAATTTCATATACATTTGTTCTCTTCTTTGGCTTGTGTTACAGGCCACTCATTGTGTGTGCTGAGAAAGTAGAGCACAAGAAAATGTGGGGAAAATTGATATGAAGAGAGAGAAAGACGAAACCTGCTTCAAAACCACCTGAAAAAGGGAAGGTACGCGATCTGTCAGCAGAGAGAGACAGAGGGGGAGGGAGAGACAGAGGGAGAGGGAGAAGGAGGGTGTGTTTCTGTGTGGGTGAGAGAGAGGAGGAGGGGGGGAGAGAGAAAGAGAGAGAGAGAGAGAGACCCAGCCTCTCTCAGATCCCGGCAGTGGTGAAGACACTCAGGAGAAGTGCGTTCACAGGGCAGCAGGAAGAGACAGCACTGCCACAGAGGCAAGTGGAATGTGCCTCTGTTTTCTCCAAACCTCCTTACACAATCACGCTGGGCTGCCTTTTGGAGACTGGACATATCCTCCCCTCACAGACACATACGTAGATCACTTTCTGCCTGGAACACCAGCTGCACAACTCAGCTGCTCCGTCAGAGGTGGCAGAGCTCTAGAGTAAGTGACAGGAGACAGAGAGAATAAGATCAGACTAAGGGGATTGAAATTTCCCTGAAGATTACAGGATAAAAGGTCCTCTCACCCAGGTAGGTGTGTGAGCGTCTTTTAGAAATACATTTGAATGTTAGTTAAGTTGCTGTTGGGTTGGTGTTAAAAAGTTTCTCTGACAGGACGCAACTCTGTTTGCTGCTGTGTTGTCTGTCCCTGCATGTGTATAATGGGTGCTATTATGACTGATAATAAGTATGTGCTTGTGTTTTGTATTTTGAGTGGCAGAAATACAAAGGGAATCTTGTGTTCTGTCTCCAGGCTGAGTTGTGTCTTCATACGTACCTGTTGACACTAGACGCGACACTTAAGTGAGACTAAAGGGTTCAAACCTGTTTGGGTTAAATTAAATCTAATGGAAGTTATCTGTTTATTTATTTATTGAACTCCCCTTGTGTGTGTTATGCGCCGCCCGCGTGGCTTTGACTTTGGCTGTCGTGTTCAATTTTGCATACCAGAACATTACCAGGTTCACGAATATGTGAAACAAGTCAGTACCAGCTATTTCTTACGTGGCCACACTGTCACCCTGGCTGCTCCTTTTAACAGTGTTGAATTAAACATTCATCCATCCAGAGCACAGGCAGAGTTCACTTCACTTGCTGTGTTCCTGCTGCATTTTCCCGTTGACGTGCTGCACATCTCAAACCTACTGATCCTCTTTCACTGTGTTTAAACTTTGACTCATCATTATGCCAGTGCCAGTGCCTCACTGTGTTCCTACTGTGGTAGGTTTGATATAATGGACCTCAGGGCTCATTAGCAAGCTAAATTTGTTATCAAATCAGGGACATTGGTCAATCCAAAACCCACTACACCCTTCCCTTAGGAGGTGACAATTTTGCCTGCTGACAGATTGTGGGAGTTGGACAGTCCGTGTAACTGTGTTATCTCTGTTATATCTGTCAGTTGCTCTATCTCACTCTGTCAGTGAGTAGAGATAGTGTCAGCATGATGAGTAACTGCATCCATTCATCTATCCATCTATCTATCTATCTATCTATCTATCTATCTATCTATCTATCTATCTATCTATCTATCTATCTATCTATCTATCTATCTATCTATCTATTTTGTATCTTAGAGAAAAAAAAGTTCATCTGTGCACATCCATGAGACGTCTCCTGAGCAGGCACTCTTCATGCTGCAATTATTTTCACTGTTCCTATCAGGAATGTTGACTAACTCCTTCGAATGCACTCTGGGTCAGTTGTAATTGGGGAAACTGCACATGTCAGTGAACTCTTAAGTTTGTCTGGTTTGGTTTTGGAGTATCCCTGGGATGTGAGTTTAGACCAATTTCCTCACTGATTTCCCTGTAGCTGTCCTTCTTTCCCATGTGTTGCTTTATCCACTTGCCATTCTTGCTGTCATTCCTCAAGTGCTCCTGTCCCCTGACTTTGAAATGTGATAGAAGCCAGTACTTTCTGGTACAGCTCGTATCTTGGATCCATTAGGAATGAAAGCAAACTGCACTAATAAAAAATGGATCCAAACTTCGATGCATCACATTTGAATCCCTCCCCTCCCCTCATTTTGTCTCTTTCCTCTATTTCTAATTCAAAGATAACGCAGTTTTCATTTATGAAATCATCTGTACAACCTTTAAAGATTTCAACTTTACTTGGAGTTTTCTGGAGCAAAACCTTTACTCCTGTGAGTTTGTAAAAAAAAAAATTCTTCCTTTCAGGATATTTGACAGAGTAGCTTTCTCCCTCCTGGTGGTTTTATTGTACTAGGAAGGCTACTGTGTTGTTGTCTACTGGAACCAATAACAAATTGGCATCCAGACCAGCCAACACAGGCCTTACTTTACCTGTTGTTTCTGGGAAGGGAAAGGTAAATACAGCAGACCTGTAGTTTGTCAGCCATAAGCACCATAATTACAGTCAGGAAGTAGGGGATTTGGAGGTTTTGTTTTTGTACCTGAAAGCACATTCTTTTTGTGGTGTAAAATATCTTGCTTTGCTCAGAATCATCTGCACACCTTTAGGTCCTTTCTAGAAATTATAAAGAAATTACCCTAGGTGGAATTACCTGGTGTAAACTGACTTTTCTACACTGTTACTAGTTTACTAACATTTTTAGTGTTCTAAAAAATATCCGCTCTCAAGTGACTAAGCCTACCTGAGGACATATTTGTAAAAGTGAGCCCAGCTGACTCAGCCTGTCATGTTAGTGAAACCATGCAGCTTCCTGTGGCCATTTTATCTGTGTGTCCTATCATGTCAACAAGTCTTTAGCTTCATATTTCCTGTTTACCTCTTGTTTTAAAACTTGCAGGTGTGAAGCAGGGGTTGACCTTCACCTCAGACTCTCATGGTTCTCTGTTCTTCTATTGGGTGGTTGCCCAGTGTGAACACCCCCTCTGACCCTTTGGGATGATCATGTGACTGTGTTTGTCCGTAAATGTGTTCTTCAGCAGCAGGTTGTTCCCTTGCACAATCAACCATGCTGTGTGGACTCGCCTCACAGAGCTCTCAGGACAGTAAATAACAGGGTGCCTCTGCCAAGGGGCCCGGTCCAACAGGGGGGGTCAAGACGCCGGTAAGAGAGAGAAAATGTCTGCCACAGGGCTTAGAACTCCTAATTCAGCAGAACAGGCAGGAGAAGATAGAGGCAGGTGGGTTTGACAGACTCATCTCTCAGGCTGAAAGGCATGACGTTGGTGCCGGCTTTGAAGGTAGATGTGTTTGATCAAGCATATTAGAAGCAAAACAAGAACATGCAGATGGCAGCCACCGCTGCTCATATGTAAACTGATGAGTAAAAGTGCAAATAGAAAAGGCACAAGCTCTTTACTTTATGGATTGTGTTTAATTCCTCCTTTGTTATGACTGATTAAATAAGACAATGTGAATGTGGAGGATGTAAAATCTTAACAGCCCATAACATGCTTAGAGGCAGGGTCCAGAGCAACATGAGCAACACTCATCAAAATGAAAATAAAGTTTTAGTATCAGAAAATCTTCACCTCTTTATAACACCTTGAGTATGTGAAGCCCATATTCTGTGTTCTTTTCTAGAATTATTTTTAAAAATATATATTTATAGTTAAAAATTCATTTCAGGATGAAAGTAAAATTTCCCACCCAGACTTGAACATAAGCCTCCCTGATGAACTAGTTTTTGCAAAGAATGTAGTGCAGAATTAGAATGTGCAGCTGCAGTATAATAATCCAGTCTACCCTGCAGCTTTTCATTAGTGTAGGAATCTGACTTCTGTAAATTTCACTTTGTATGCGACTAATATGGGTTTCACTCGTTTAGTTTTGCTACCTTTGTAATTCACTGAGTCAAGTGCCTGGGTATGTACAGTACAGCACTGCCAAGAGAAAAAGATTTTTAGATAATGGTGGTGAGGCAGGTACATTACAAAATGCCATCAAACATAGCGAGCAATGAAAGAGCAGCAATGCGGTGGGTGCTTTATTTTAAAAATTCATATCATATAGAAACAAGATGTTTCTTGTCAGCCTGCTAATCCATTAATGACTGAATGCCCCCCAGGCTCCACCACTCCAATGTAACTGAATGTGACCTGTTAAGAGAAATCAGCGAAAAACCTACGGTAATTTGACGAGAACATGTTTTTTTATTCTACATCCCAGGTAGCAGTTCCACAGTAAATAGTCTAACTTGTCTAAAAACAACTTCCATAGAACTGTTTCATTTGACATATTGGACATATTTTTAATCTCCCCCTCCACATAAGCACAGGTGGGCTCTCCACTTTTTAGTTTTAGCAGTTCCCAGAAGCGGCAGACTTATCTCCACTATGTAAACTCAGCCGTGTCATTGCTAGTTTTGTGTGTTTACGCCTGAGTGTCCCTGCCAAAGATCGCCACGGTGATCTTGAGTCAGAGAGTTAAAAGGCAATTTTCTGGCAGTGGCAGGCAGATATACCACCCTTATTCCCAAAGGTGCTGCTGGGGTACTGGGAACCACTTTAAATCTGCGTCCTTTCCTCCTACCTGTTCCTTACTCATCTCATCTGTCCTAGCTCACTCCACGTTGCTCTGAAAGACATGATGGTTACTCCTCCTCACAATAATGAAAGGCAGGGAGAGACTTGTGTGGGACACCTCCCTATAAAAGTAGCTTCGTGGTCCACATCAAAGAGTTACTGATTCCAGCCTTGTACTTTTGAGTATTTTACAAGTATATTTAGGACTGAGTTTGAAACTTTTACACTGAAAGTTGTCACTGGAAATCTGTGGAAAAAAAGGGCTAAAGTCGAATGTGTGTTATCAGTTTAACTTATTTTTTGGAACAAACCAAAATTATCTGTAAAGTCAACATATATAACAATACAAAGCCTTCATTTAAATGGTCCTATATCAGGAAGTACATTCCAGTTTGTTTGTCTGCTCACTTACCTTGTGGAATGAGAGAAGATAAAGAGAAGATAACAATCTTATCTATCTTTTCTTAGCAGCATTTTTCTGTGGTTAAACTGCAACAGGTTAACTGAAGGCCTCAAAGCTACCCCTGTTTCTCCATCTCTGTTATTCAGTGGTTGTGTTTGCTTGTATCTTCTCTCCAGTGCGTAGGTATGCTGTAACACCTTGGGTAAATATTGTCAGCATGTAAGAGGTGATGACCTACCTTAGTTATGCTCAGTGTTAATCTGTACAGCCTGGAGTTTTCCGTCAAACTTTCTGGCAGATGTTCAAAGCGTGACGCACCCAAGAAGTTATGGGTTCCAGTTTCAAAGTCCAATCTAATCAAATCCAGTGGTGACTGGATCGCATTATCCATAGTAGCAGTTTGTGAACTAGCCGTTTGATGTCCATGGCCTCAGATTGATGTCCCGGGAGGGGAGCTGGGTGTAGTCTTCAACTTTCATCTGTATAAATATTCATTTACCAGATGGGTTTGTTCTTTCTTTTTGTTGGAGGTTTATGTTGTTCTGGTAATATTATCATGACAACTTTGCAGAAATGAGCACCTGCTCTGTCATGGATTGATAACCACTTTACCAGAGTTGGTAAAGTGGACTTATACCTCTAGCACACCCATGGAAGGACATAATAGG